ATAAATATGAATTATCGGTCAAATTTAGGCACCAATCTGCTGCTGCTAACTTGTTTAAAGAAATATCTGCCAAAACAATTCCAATATTATTATTATTATTATTATTATTATTATTATTATTATTATTATTATTATTATTATTATTATTATTATTATTATTATTATTATTATTATGCATAATGTCCATAATGGGCGGTACGGCGCAGTGGGTAGCGCTGTCGCCTCACAGCAAGAATGGCCTGGGTTCGATTCCTGGCCGGGTGACCAGGGTCATTTCTGTGTGGAGTTTGCCTGTTCTCCCCGTGTCTGCGTGGGTTTCCTCCAGGTACTCCGGTTTCCTCCCACAGTCCAAAAACATGCAGTCAGGCCAATTGGACATGCTAAAATTGCCCCTAGGTGTGAGTGTGTATGTCTCTCTGTCTGCCCTGCGATGGACTGGCGACCTGTCCAGGGTGTATCCTGCCTTCCGCCCAATGACAGCTGGGATAGGCTCCAGCACCCCACCGTGACCCAGAAGGATAAGCGGTTTAGATGATGGATGGATGGATGGATAATGTCCATAATAGAAAACTTGTATATTTGGTACTATGTACCACTAAGAGTGTATCACAGACTATTTTTTTTAGATGCAAAGCACCTAGATGTCACTCACTCACTCATTCGCATTGGGCAGACTGAAGACTGTACACAAAGGGGAGCTATTATACTCAAACAGTTTTGTGTGCATCATTGAAAGGGAGGAAACTAGAACCCCAACCTCACGTAGCATGTATGTTTGGATTCTTATATATAAGATGCAAAAGGCCTGTACTCCACAAAAGCATGTAAACACCAGGCTCTTTCGATGCTGCTGCCAGAGCAGTACACCAATGATGGTTCACTGATAAGAGACACGTTCACTTGATCAGAGTAATGATGCTTCAGTTCAAGTCAATGTAAATCAATTAAGTTGAGACACGGATGGACGTCAACCAACAGCACAAATAGTTTCCAGAATCTTCTACCACTGACCTTAGTACAGCACCTTGCTTGTCACATCACGTTAATGCGACTCCTTTCCTTTTATCTGTCTATCGCAATTACGGCTGTTCCCCCTCTGCCTTGCTGTCCTCTGCCACCTCTCTCTTTTTTCCTCTTTTCTCCTCACTCATTCTTCTCCTGCCCCCTCCCCTCACCTTCTCTCTCTTCTCCTGACATCACCCACTCCTCACTGCGGACATGCCTCAACCCACAGCTCCTCGAGTCACGACACCAGTTTTTAACCAGTTATGCTAAAGAGCTTCTTTGTTGCCCTGCTATGAAAAAAAATATGTATAAAGATCTATGTAGTATTGAACTGATTCATTATAATTTGAAGGGTGACCATTGTTGCTGGCTAAGGATGCATTCAGAGTGGACATCAAAGCATGTTTGTGAGTCGCTCTGGGTAAGAGCACTTGCAAAATGCGGTACATGTAAATATAAACATGTATATTTCAGATGCTTCACCTTCTACAATTCCAGAAATTTAAAACGGATGAATATCTGGCTGAAATATCCTGTTTCTCTAGAACTTTAAGTACTAGAGCAGAATATATCTCTGTGTAAACACTTCATGATGAATGGACCAATGGAAATGGTCATAAGGTACAACTAGATTGTATTAATATACAATGTTTTTTGTACAGTACTATGCAAAAGACAGAACCAGCCCTGTGTTTATTTAATTTCCAGTCTAAATGACGATTAAGTACAAGTTATTTATTTTTTCAGGAGATATTAGATATAAAAATTATTTCTGAAACTATAGTTCATTTTTTTTTTTAAAGATTCTGAGAAAATGGGTCTCCTAACAACCACCTGGAAGACCTGGTAGACACCAAAACTGCCCCCATCAGATAAACAGCACTTAAAGCTTTCATCTCTGAGAGAGAGGAGAAAATCAAGCTGCTTCAGATCTAAAAACATCCACAGGTGTTTCTGTCCATCCTTCCACTGTGAGAAGACGACTCAGCGCTGTGGGTCTGAAAGGATGTGTAGCTGTTCAAGAAGAACCTCACTGAGAAAAGGAGACGGACACATCGAACAAAGAAGCTGAACGATGGACTGACCACCCCAGAGTCCAGACCTCAGCATCACTGAATGGGTTTGATTACTTCAGAAAATGATCAACCAGCTTCTAAGACTGAACTCTGGAGGTGTGTCTGCAGATTCTTTGAGGAACTGAAAGTGAGTCTCCTGAAAAGAATGGAAGCTGGAATAAAGGTAGAGTGGACACATAAAACAAAAAAGCACCAAAAAAATGTAGTTGTTGAGACTTCTGTGTAATTTTCTTTCAAACATATTTTCTGCTTTATCTCTTGAAAAATAAATAATTTGCACTTAATGGCTGTTTTATTTGGAAATTAAGTAAATGAAGGCACAGTATTGTAGACGGTCTAAATATGGTCTATGTGTGTGGCAGCATACAGTGTGTGTGTGTGTGTGTGTGTGTGTGTGTGTGTACAGTATCTCTCAGTGTGTAGGAGTCAGAAGCTGTTCCCAGTAGGTTCGTACTCCATCATTAGAGCAGTAAATAAGGGGTCCCAGTCCCAGTCCTGCCCCCTGATCTGTGCGTCTATGTGTGTGTGTGCTGTCCTTTTCCCCAGGCTCTACTTCTCGGTGCTAGGAGTTGCCATGGCAGCCGATATCCTCCGGTTCGCTCTGCCTGGCCCATTGTTCCCCATCCCTGCAATCTTTTGCCTTCACCTTCTATTTATGCTGACACCAGAGATCCGCATCCGCCGCCTCGTTTTCCAGCTCTTATACCCGCCAGACAGAGAGAGTGCACCACAAAGTTATTATCAGCTTGCTGTTTCTCTTACTCCTACATCTAGTTCTAATGGGAGCTTCTCCTTATTGAAATCTTAAAAGTCGTGAGACACTCCATGCCTCTACCCACACTCGTTCACCCCCACGCCTTTTCTTTCCTTTCTGACAAGCATAAAATATGAATTCAAACCGTCTGTAGGAAAGACGGGGGGCTCCCTCTCAGCTCCCTGTGATGCTGCTTCGTTAATGTGGCACAAATATCAGCATCAGAAACTCCAAGTTCTTTGAGTTAGCTAGAATAAAAATTCTTAGAAAGCTGAAGTCGCTCAAAACTTCAAACTTTTTTGACATTGGACGACCACCCAGGTCAAGAGAGAAGGAAACTTGAATTGATCAACATATTTAAACGGATTATGTCTACAAAGCAAAGGCCAATCTTGTGAAAACTGGGTAAGAAATATCCATTGTAGCTAAACAGTAGTGTATGAGCTAATTGTTCAATGTAATCCCCTAAGAGCATGAGGAAGAACCATTAAGAGGAACCAAGACTCAAAAGGAGAATCTTCCTCTTAGAGCATGAGGATGAACCACAGAAGAACCAAGACTCCAAGAGAAAACCTCCCTAAAAGCATGAGGAAGAACCACTGAGAGGAACCAAGACAAGGAAACCCATCCTCCTCTGGGCTGCACTGCACAGCGTAGTTGGAAAAAATTGTACAAGGAAAATTAAACAGTGGCGCTTGGATCATATAGAAAAAGATCCAGAGATGAATCAGTGAAGATCTGTCAAACATCTAGAGAATCTGACAGTGTAGGACATAAAGAATGGTACATTGACCAGAGATTATTTCCCCAGACAGGCACTAAGCCTTGTCCTAGATTACATGTTCCTTTCAATGGAGAATCTCCTTTAAGAATATTGTGAAGTCCAGGACTAGATTTAATCCACCTGGGAAACCAAATTAGTTATTTTCAGGCATGCAAAATGCTGACACAGGTGTTACAATGCTCACACATAGCCATCAAACATAAGTTGGGAGTGATGATTTTCTATTGAGCACCTTTGGGATGAGTTGGAGTGATGAAGCTCTACAGAACCCCTTTAAGATGAGTTGGAGTGATTAAGCTCTACTGAACCACGTTAAGATGAGTTGAAGTGATGAAGCTCAACAGAACCCCTTTAAGATGAGTTGGAGTGAAGAAGCTCTACTGAACACCTCTGGGATGAATTAGAGTGATGAAGCTCTCCTGAACATCTTTGGGATGAGTTGGAAGGATGAAGCTCAGTTGAACACCTCTGGAATGAGTTGGAGTGAAGAAGTTTTAATGAACACGTTTGGGATGAGCTGGAGTGATGAAGCTCTGCTGAACACCTTTGGAATGAGTTGGAGTAATGAAGCTCTGCTGAACACCTTTGGGATTAGTTGGAGTGATGATGCTCTGCTGAACACCTTTGGGATTAGTTGGAGTAATGAAGCTCTGCTGAACACCTTTGGGATGAGTTGGAGTGATGAAGCTTTAATGAACACCTTTGGGATCAGTGGGGGTAATGGATCAGTTGGAGTGATGAAGCTTTGCTGAACACCTTTGGGATGAGTTGGAGTGATGAAGCTCTACTGAACACCTTCGGGATTAGTTGGAGTGATGAAGCTCTGCTGAACACCTTTGGGATGAGTTGGAATAATGAAGCTCTGTTGAACACCTTCTGGATGAGCTGGAGTGATGAAGCTCTGCTGAACACCATCTGGATGAGCTGGAGTGATGAAACTCAACTGAAAACCCCTGGAATAACTGATGAAATAAGGCTGATGAAGTTCTACCGAACACCTTTGGGATGTGTGGCTATTTGTGGAGTGCCATTTGTGCAAAAAAGTTAATGGGCCAACCTCGGTGCTGAATGGTCTTTTGTCTGAATGAAAAGCTCTGCAGAATTGTTCTAACATCGAGTAGAAAGCTGTCCAGAAAAGCAGAGGCTGTTACTGCAGCAAAGGGCCCTATTACATAATAACTTCGATTTTGGATAAAATGTTGGATGACCAACTTTTGGACATTTAGTGTAACAGTGTGAAAGACATTCAGCGTAAAGCAGGATTACAACTTTTAGAAACAGATTACAGGAGTTCATGCACAGGTTGGAGTCATGAGGCTCATAAAATTTCCTGACAGAGGTTCCAGACAGATGATTAGTGAGTTGTGGTTCAGGTTCCTACCTGCAGTAACAGCATGGCCTGAGGGCAAATCCCCGTTAAAGCCGTTCTCTTTGGCGTATGAAGCAGCAGAGCCAGCGTGGGCGCCGCCAGGCTGGCACGCCCTGTAGGAGAAGCCGTTTTCCCCATGACCAACTGGGCTGGCTGACCCCTGGGCTCCAGGCGATGCCCACTGGGGGGCGCTGTCCTCAGGCTGCCGACCGTCTGCCATCAGAACCGGACGAGGGAGAAGGTAACTCCTTACTGCTGAGAAGCACAGATAAAAACAGTGATATATTAGGCCTGGACAATTTGATTACATTATTGCGATGTCTTGACCAACAATATTATTTTTCGCTTTAATGCTTCATCAACCTTATTGCTTAAATGCAAGCTTGCATTGAATCACTTAAACCGCAAGGGTCCTCATGTGGGTTCAATTATATTAATTCTTCACATATTACACATTCGTTTCATTGCAGTTACTGCATAATTTATAGGTGTTACTGAGTCTTAAGATCAATTACTGAAAACTTAAAGGACAGCAAGTGGTTAAAATGGGTTCTGCAATACAAATTTAAAATATTGGATAGTTGTCTGCCCTGCCCCTCCTCCTCAGACTCGAAGCACATATGGGTTGCCAGGTGTAAACAATGTGAAAAAAGGCTGTCTAAGACCAGCAATTATCAGAAAGAGAGTGGTCAGCTTTCACATAGTAGGGAAAGGTTCTTTTTTAAAGCGCTGCAGTAAACTATTATGAAATGTCATTTTATTTATCATACAATTAGCTGGAGGCTAAGATGGAGAGGTATCTCAGGGTCTTCTTGTTCATGAGAGATGGGAAGAGGGATCCTGAGATCGACCATAAGGCCGGTCTACATCCCAACCCTCACATACGGTCATGAGCTTTGGTTAATGGCTGAAAGAATGAGATCACAGATACAAGCAGTGGAAATTAGTTTTCTTCACAGGGTGGCGGGCTACACTCTACTGACAGGGTGAGGAGCTCGGTCATCCAGGAGGAGCTCAAAGTAGAGCCACTACTCCTCCACATTGAGAGGATCCAGCTGAGATGGTTCGGGCATCTGATCCGGATGCCCCCTAGACGCCTCCCAGTGGAGGTTTACCAGGCACAGCCGACTGGGACAAGACCCTAAAGCTGACCTAGGACCTGCTAGAGGTCTCCCAGTATAAGCTGGAGGAACTTTCAGGGGACAGGATCACCTGGGATTCACTGCTCTCCCGACTACCGCATTCCTATCTGGATTGAGTGGTTTAAAATGATGATGATGATCATGAAGATGATGATGATGATATACATTAGCTTGATAATCTTAATATATTATATGCTACTTAAGAGGCAATGAGTTGTTTGAGATGTGGCCCGATTTACACGTGCAGCTCAGGGAAGTCCAATCAGTCCCATAGCAGCAGACAGACTGAAGATGAATCAGTTTGCACTGTGCTAATGGGAGCAGATGAAGAACAACGATAAAAGTGTCAGATACAATCTGGGCTAACTGGGAGATTAAACAGTGTGACCGGGGGAGGCCATGCAGAGAGAGGACGACAACAGGAGACTGGACTGCTGCTCTGATTTTAGGTTCATTACTCAGCCAGAGAGAGACAGAGAGAGAGAGAGAGACATAGAGAGAGAGAGAGAGAGAGAGAGAGACAGAGAGAGAGAGAGAGTGAGAGAGAGAGAGACATAGAGAGAGAGAGACATAGAGAGAGAGAGAGAGATCTTTTCTCATTGCCCTCCTGTATGCTAACAGCATGTTTAATGGATCCCGCGCATGTGCATAGCAAGAAGCTCGGAGCAGCCTCCAGACTCAGGGCTTTCCCTTGGGGGGGGGGGGGGGGGGGTGGGGGGGGTGTTGAGCTGAATCAGCGTTTTTCCTAACATGCCCAGCAGTGCTGAAATTTGAAAGGACTTCCATGGAGTGCTTTCACACTGATTACTTCACTGTGAGAAAAGAAATGACATGATGTTCTGGGCAGGACTGATAAAATTTAATGTCAAGATATTATCAGGTGATATTTCAGAGTGCACTAATACAGTTAGTGAACCCAACACTTTGAGTGCTGCTGCTCTGTCCTAAAAGAAAAACCCCTGAAATTAGAGATCCGCTACCTGAACCGAGTCTGATAGGGTTCAACAAAATATCATTTTACAATATGGAGCTCGGGTCAGGCTTGGCTTGTTTTCTAAATAGTGATTTTTTTTTATGTAGTTTTATTTGCAGGATCCATGTAAATCTTGCGCAAGCATGTTTTGGGTCAGATTTGGGTTTTAAATTTGGCAGTGGCAGTTGAGTCTGGTCAGACAGTGTCTCAAAGCTGGAGGTCAGGTTAGGACTTCATGCCTGTGCAGACTTCCTCATGCCCAAAGAACACTTTAGAGGCCTCTAATACTCTTCAGAATTTTCAAAATATATCCAGTATGTGGGAATGACTCAAACCTGTGCCTCTATGGTCTATCAACCGCTTATCGCAAATTCACTGAAGATTATGCAATTTAAAGCGCTCCCACAGATCAGTTCTTAGACATCTCTGCTCTTGTAGCTCCCTTAGTAGTTCTATCACTCTTTTCATGGAAAGAAGTGCCATCTTTTGCACTCTTTGGCGAGTTGATGCCCAGGATGAATTTTTGATGCATTCGTCTAATACTGATTATTTGAACATATTTCATGTATTACCAATAACTGTTCTATCTAAAGGCTTTTGTTAAGTAAGTGTGCTGAATTTTAGTCTACAGCTTCAGTGGCTTGAAAAAACTTATTAATACTGAACAGAGAAACAACGTAACTAACCAATAATATTCAAATTATTCAAGAAGGGCCTATTTGTTTTTGGCAAAGTGACACCAAATGAAACATTACACAGTGTTGTAAATGTTAACCAGACAGTAAATAACCTCTTTCTTTATTTATTTATGTATTTAATTGAATCGCTTTTTAAAATTGCACTGTCAAAACAATCTGAAGCATCCAGGTAATCAAATATATTGTCATACACAACTGTCAGGTCCCCACACTGTGTTTAAAATCATCTTAAAAATGCATCTTAAAAACTCTTTGACAACATGAACAGTTTTATGGAGCACAGTGTTAAAATGGATATAATCCCTGCTGAGAAAAACAGCACAGACCACCGTGCAATTCAAGCTGGTTTATGCTATTCTGGTGCTGATTTAGCTGGTCACCCCAGCATGGTCATGCTGGTTGACCAGAATACCAGCATCGAAACAACATATGCTGGTTTTGGTGGTCAGCTTATCAACTTCCATTGCTGCTGACCAGCAGACCAGCATCCAAAACACAACATACTGCTGTTGTTGGAACAAAACCTCACATCCCAACAATGGTAACTTTACAGGAGAAGGAAAAACATACTTTACTTTTAATGTAAGTCAATGGAACCAGACGTCTTTCCAAGTAATATCAGGCCATTTCTTTTGGTCCATTCACCATCATATTTACACACAATGTAAAGGCCAACAGGCATTTTCATATTAGGTCAAAAACTGAAAAATTTTGCTCCAACAGCAGCGATATGCTGGTTTTGTTGGGGACCAGCAGTGCTGGTCACTGCTGTTTTTTTTTATCTATCAACATCACCACAATTGAAAACCAGTATTAGGGCTCACTTTATTTGGATAGTCCACTATAGATCATCTACAGATGTTCAATTTGTTAACAGACTATCTGTTGAAACACAGCTGATTCTAAAAGGTGGTGGGGTTAGGGTTGGGATTTGGACCAGGGTTAGGGCTAGAACCAGGGTGAGGGTTGGGTTGAGGTTAGGGTTAGGTTTAGGATTAGAGCAGGTTTAGATTTAAAGACAACGATGGTCAATTTAGCAGATATTTAGTTGAATGTAACTTGATAATAAATTAAGTATCTACAAAGCATCTAAACTGGACTATCCAAATAAAGTGTTACCCAATATTATGGTGCAACACCGATGCCAGTCTGACAACAGACGATTATATCACCCAGCACTCTGGCACAAAATCACCAAGACCAACCAAGATCCTCTGAAAGCCCAGTTAATGAACACAAGAGTAGAGTTTTAATGTTTTTTTTACCACATTAGGGCCCCACTCGAGTCCCTATATTAGACAAGGCGTGTTTCTGCTCTACACCAGTGTTTTTTCTGCTTTTTATCCCTTTCCTATGTCCCATTAGTCCAGTCCAGCATGATCATTACCGCTGGCCGAGTGTCACTAATAGCTCTGCACTATCACTCCCACTTACCCTCAGCCTGACTGATATGCAGCCGGGGAAGAACATGCGAGCGTTTACCTTCAGTAAATAAGCACCATTAAAGAGGCGAGAGTGGACGAGTGGAGGAGGACCAGCACCTGCGATTAATACACAGTGCTTTCATATTTGAGCTTTTAGTGCTTTTCAGAAAGCTGCAGACACCGAGCGACACAAGCAGCTGGAGCCTTTCATGGCATGTTTTCAGACTAAATATTCACCATCACTCCATTTCACTTCATATATTTGGGTCATTCTCCATTTGAAGTGGGAATTCAGGTGGATACATTTTTAAAAAAAATGATTTCTTTCATCCCAAAACTAAATAATCTTATTCTGTCCATTAACATCTCCTATTAACATATATACAAAAAGGAGAGCTTAATTCCAAACATATTTTACAGTCACTGGTGTTGTATGAATATGGTGTAACACCAGTGACGGTGACTCCAGTGACTTTCTGGTTAAAACTGAGGATTTTATAAATTGGCTGACTCATTGGTGATCAGGTGACCACTATTTAAAATCAGTAATAAAAATGATATTTGACATTCTTTTGACAACATTTGAATTATTCAACCATTAAAGCACACAACACTGGTGACATAGAAAATATGTGCTGCCTGATAAACAAAGTTATTAATAAATCAGTGAAATATAGTGAGCAAGTGTGAATTCGCCTTATCATGCCTTGAGATGCTTCCTGTCTGATGAGCCTCGACCCAAAGAAGCAGTTTAATAGACCTGAAAATACTGTGTTAAAATGTAATGTAAGAGTCCTGATAACACCAGTGACCACTACTTCTGTGACAAATGAATTTTTAAAATAAAATATATAATTTTTTACATGTGGTACAGAGTTAATGATATAAAAAGTAAAAATGAATCTGTTTTATACAAATTCCTAAATTTAAACCTCTTAAAAATACTGTTTTATATTAAAAATGGCTCTCAAATGTTGAAAATTGGCTTTGTGACGAGCTGTTTTACAGATGCAGAGCG